ATATACACCGAAGAGCCATTACATTATGACCGCCCTCCATCCATAACAATGGGCTCGCCGAGGTTTTCATGGTTTCTCGCCCAGGAGCAATGTTTTCACCCATAATCCTCATAGAACAATCCCTGACGTCTCTAAGCTACTTGAGCATAGTTGCAGACCAGGTCCACCCATTCATGGCAACAGTTTTTCCTGCGGGGGATGGTGTTTACCAACAGGATAATGCACCATGTCATACGGGTCGAATTGTCATGGATTGGTTCGAGGAACATTCCAGTGACTTTCAAGTCATGTCTTGGCCCCCAAACTCACCTGACCTTAATCCAATAGAGCATTTGTGGTCCTACTTTGAAAACCAAATTCATGCTCCCACGCTACCCCCTCGCAATGTGAGGGAATTGCAGGACCAGTTGGTGCGCACCAGATACCTCAGACTACCTATCAGCACCTTGCGAAATCAATGCCATGACGGATGATGATTAGATATTTTTGGACTAATTCGATGACATTCGAGGACATATCATTAAGAATTTAGGACATTTCCTGTCCTGAAAGAATTTCACAGCTTTTTAGAACAACTATTAAAATTCGAGTACTATCCTCAAGATTTGAGAACGTCTGGTTAGCTTGTCTTAGAAGCGAGAAGACCTTCACTTGGGTCACTTCAGTAATCCTTAGGAGCGAACCCAACAGAAGCAGAGGAAGTAAATAAGAAAAATGTTACAACCGTCCGCCTACTAAACAGCGATAAGGGGGGAAAATAAGAAAAATCTCACAACGTTCGTCCTACTGAAAGATCGGATTTATCGTTTATGGTAACTCATGCTAAGGCTTAAGGAGATGTGAGCCTATCACGGAGTAATAAATTTTTGTCACGATTTCTGTTATTTATATTTTTTGCCAGACTCTCTTGCCAAATAACTTACACCGCTATCCTGGAGGAGTTGTTTTACTTCTGCATATGCCTGTTCTTGAATGTCCGGGTGCAGTGCCATGAAATAGCAAGCGATGGAAAGAGTGGTGGAGGTAGATTCGTAACCAGCTAGAAAAAATACCACGCATTGCGATACCATTTCATCCGTAGACAAACCTAAAATAGATTGAGCAGCAACATAAATGTGGAACTTCCCGTTTCCTCTTTTAGCTATATGTTTATAACTCACACATAACAGGTGATTGCTAAATCCGCGCCTGATTTTAATACAATATATTCTCATAAAAAAATTGTATTTGTGAACTCATGAGGGACACTCATACCGCATACGAATTTGGAGATGCGAACGAGAACCTGATAGGCAAATTTTTCGAGGGTAAAAATATTTCACCCATCAAGTTCTCGTTAACATCTCTGATGTCACACACGCGAATTTTTCGCATGCAATGTGATGAGGCTTTATGATTAGGGTTCTATAAATTATGGAGAAATATTTTTAAATGAAAGCAGAAATATTTTAAGAGCATGTTAATGACTTAGAAATCAATTAAAGTTTCATTTGGAAAAAGTAAGTTCTTCATTTTCTGCCTTGTTTCAGTCACACAATAATTTCAATTACATGTAAAGATATTAACAGGTAACTTTATATCCATTTTCAATATCACAGCGATTTCATTGAATTGAATTGAAAATTAGTTCAGAAGCTGAATGCTATAAAACTTGACTAGTGAAAATTTGGCCGTAGCAGGATACATGTCTTTCACGGTATTAAACAACACAGATGGCATTTCCTTTGCTTTTCTTGGAAGCTTTAGTTGAGTTTCTTGTAATTCCAGGTTAAAATATTTTCAACGCATTCTTCGCAGACCGCATATTCGAGTTTTATATGCTGATCACTATCACTCATTCCTGAAATATTTTTGACCTACACTGTTCTTCCTTGTCATTTAAATTGCCTATTTGTTCTGGATCGAAATCTTCAAGAGCGAAGTTTAACCCCTTCCAGACCTGCGAAAGAAACTCATCCCCGCATTATCCGAGATTATGCGTACTAAAGAGTACGCATACGTATAATAAGAGAGCACTGCATTGAGATCGCATCCATGTGATCTTGGGCCACTAGAATCACAGAGTCTCGTTTCTTATATGATACCGTGGGTCATAAAAAGACAATCGTGCAATGTGATTACAATCCTGAAGCGGTTAATGATGTTTGGCGAAATCTGGGTCCTCGTTTTTTTAATTATTTCAATTTTTACGAATAAATTGCTCAAATGTTTTTGGAATTCAAAAAAAGAAGTGAAAATTGCAAGGGGAGAAAATCGTAAACACAAGTAAAAAGCGGCTTTCAAGAGAACACCCGTCTCGCTTCGTGGCAGGTACTATGGTTACGAGGAAAGGATACTTCGAATGATGGTGTGAGGTGAATAGTTTTGTCTTAATATTGGCATAAGTTGTCGTGAATAAACCAATCGGCACCTTCTTTCCTCTATTTCACTCCCATTAGAAATGTGCTCTCGCTTGTTACCATAGTAGCAGAAAGCCCCAGACCTATAGTCTGCAGGAGCTCTCATCAAAGCCGCACTATACACGGATAGCGTTTTCATTATTATTAGCGTAAACAGCAACAATCTCAATTCATTATTATTAGCGTAAACAACAGCAATCTCAAACACTTGACCTGCTGTACTTCCTGTTAGGAACTTTACAGCTGCTTACTACAGCTTATTTTGGGAGGTGATATTTTCGAACAGATAATTTTGTTTTTAATAAAGGAATAAGTTATATAATTTCTGACTTTAAATCTGTTGCATTTCATGAGATATTAAGTAATTCTGATGAGTTTGAAGCAAAAAACTGCTTTAGTTAATAGATGTTTACTAGTTTAGTTACTAGATGTACTGTTGAATAGGGTGACCCGATAGCGAGATTTAGAAAGAATTCGCTTTTTTTTTATCAGTCCTGGTTTGGCCTCTTTTTATTATTACTTATTAGTCTTCTAGTTGCAAGCCGTGCACCCCCTTACGTTAGTGTAAGCATATTATTCAAGTTTATTTTACAAATTATCATTTAAGTTTAAATTTCGAAGCTGGTATATTGTTGATAAGGTAATAAGTGTTTTATAACGATTCCTCTTTTTTTTCAAATCACGATTCTTACGCCTAGAAAAGACAGGACTTCTTCAACTGACGTTTCCCTTTTTAAACACACATAATAAATAAAGTAAAAAATACACGTATACAAAAAACACAATAATCACGTTGCGAGCCAAATGGCTTCCAAATACACCTGTATTAGTAACCCGGAAGTAAAAGCAGTAAGGGATTATAGCGCAACCTAGTTGAAAAAGTAAAACATATGAGGATATTCAGCAATCATTATGTGGATGATTGTACAGTGGACGTCTTTCTGTATTTTTCACGCCTTTGCACTACTTATAGAGTCCTAATAGAATGACTTTCCATAACTATCATTCACCGTTTTACCTATTCGCAATCGCAATGCTGGAATACGCCATCTGGGGAGAAAACCGATTCCATGTCTTAACCCCCCCTTCCTTCATTCTCTCCTCCTCTTCTCAGCTGTATAGGAATGTACTACGATATTTCCCCCTTTCTTAATATTTTTCGTATTTACTTGTAACAAATATTATTTTTAATTTTCACGTCGCTTTCTTTTAGATTTATGTTCAATGTAGTTTTCAGTTCTATTTAGTTTCCTAAATTGAATATTTTTAATCAATTTGAAAATCGAGAGAGAAACTGGCGTACTTTCTTACTCTTCACACGCTAATGGTGAAAGGATGTGAAGTGTTGGCATAGATCTTCTCTACGCCACCTGCAACCCATTTCGATTGCCAATTTCTAATTTGCCCTTCATGTAGGAATAACAAATCTGAATTAACAAAGTCGAATGGATATTAAGGGTCTTCAAGGGCCCTGAGTTTCCACAGTGTTTGTTGAGTGAGATTTTGAGAAAGAAAGTGATCACTCACTTGAATAATAATTGAGATCATTTTGTTTGGATTTCAACATTTAGTTAATGTGAATTACTCACAATAATTTCCTCAATTGTTTGTGGATAGCATTCATCTGTATTCGGCATAATTTTTTTTAACGTAATTCTATTATTTTTTTTTAATGTAACTTTGACAGGACGCAAATTTTTTCCTCGAATGGCCATTCTCACTGCATGCTGTTCATGAGCTTCTAAATATTTCTAAGAAGAATAGAGTTTCTGATTAGTGATATTTTCATGAAAATATTTTTTCACCAATCACGTTCTCAATCTCTCTCAACGGCGTTTGGAACCGCATTTGCAGTGTGAATGACCTTTGTTATTTGGTACCTACTTTTTGTAACAGGATTTTGAAGTAGGGCTTGATTATCCTCCATTCCTGCACCATAATTTGTCGTTAAATCGTCCACCTCTTCAAACGATTGCTTTAACTGCCCGTTGCTTTCTACCTCTTTACAGGTGTCTAGCAGAAGTTGAAGAAAATCATTTGCTGTCTGTTTGGAAAGAAAAAATGGTTTTGTTTATATAAGTTGAAATGTAGTATATTAAAATAGAACTTTTTATGTCTCCCCCAAATCTATATTAATGTAAACTTCGCATCTTCCCAAATTGAAAGCAAAACTTAAACTAAATGTATTCTCCCAAAGACGTGAAAGAATTTTCTCGCATTAAAAAAAGTAAAAAGACGTCTAACAGTTTTTGTTTATATGAGCAGTTCAGTTTGACTTAATTTCTCATTTCTGGCCAGCTTATTGCCCAGTTTGCTCCATCAATTTCATTGCCAATGGAAAAAGAATAAATAAATAAGCTCCAGCAATTTTGTAATAAGAATGTTGTATAAAATGGATCCAGCAACATAAAAAAAAAGACTATCGCAATAAGTTAAGTATAAAAAGGTTCCCAATAAGTTACAATTTTTTGAGCGTGGTCAGTTCTAAGCATAAAAATTTAAAGAGAAAATCCAACTTACTTTTCCAGTTCTCCTTCTTTCATCAATTATTTGATACGTTACTCGAGAAAAGAAATTCAAGCTCTCCGAAGAAAAGAAAGACTCGCCCATCAACTTCATGAGTTTCGGAAAAAGAACTAAAGATAGGAAAACAATGTTTCTGCAACAGTACACGAAGAAGATTTTATTAAAAAATACAAATTGATGTTAGTCTGTCGAAGTAAAAATAGACTCCTTTTCTTCATTCTATGCTACACTTAAAATTGTAAGGGAGTATGAATGTAACGACTAAAGCATACATTTAAAAAAAAAATTATTATAATATCACATACTTTTTTTCATTGAAACGCGTGACTCATAGTAAAATTACTTAAAACATATAATGACTTGAATTTTTAGCATGGAAAATGGTGGCGCAAAAAAGAGATGAAAAAAAGTGTTATTTACAATGTTCCCATGCCAGTGATTCAGCTTTTCTGAACTCAGTGCTGAAACAAAAAGAAAAGGAAGAGAATGTGGCAAGTGTGATATCTCTAGCTTTTATCGCGGTAGTGTTGCAACTTGCCTTCGCTATTGAAGTGGGTGCTCCCAATTAAAAATTTCCAAATAAACTGTAACTGTTACCATGGTAACCGTGACTGTTAACATCGTTTCACTGTAACTATTATCATGGAAGCTCTATAATCTTTTTAACACTAGTGTTAGGCAGGCGCATTTCTTAAATAATCTTTATATAAAATTTTATTCAGTTTTTCCTGATTCATCGCCATGCTTTACGAGGAACTACGCAGCACATTTTACAGGTCGAAAAATGAATCTCATGGAATTTGGTTTTATTTTTACCTCATTCATAAAAATTGATTACATGATTTTTTTTTTCCTTCTTTTTTTCGAATTTCATTCCTAAGCTCAACAAGGCAAGTGATTAATAGGGAAAACCTCCACTCAGATGGTTTGATGACACACAAAAAAAAAAGATTTAAAAGCATTTAAAGTAAATAATTTGAAAAAAATGAAGCCTTAAGGCTTGATTTTAATAGGATAGACTCCATAGAAGATAGAAATTTGATACATAAAAAAAAAACTAGTTGGAGTTGCCCTGATCTTCTCTGGGTTGTAGTGCCAAGAAGAAGATTTTTAAGCGGGCGTTTTTCGATCCTTTTCCTACAAAATTTTCGATTATCGTTTATTAATGAACAAAGTTATTTTATAACCACCCTGTACCCAGCATACTTCCATTAATGCATTCAGAGCTATCATATTTGGTGAGGTTTTATGTACGAGGTTGCCTTATATGTCACTGGTATTTTATTTTATAGCAACCGTTGAATAGCCGACCCGAGGTGTACATTCAATTGTAGTTGAACATTAGTAGAGCTAGTAATTGGTCCTTGTAGTTTTGAACCCAATCCAGAAGACAAAGGAACTCCCGGATCAAGATTTGGGAGAAATTTGCCTTAGTGCAGGAATTCTGATGGAACTAACCAGCATTTGCGTTGCAAGGAGAGAAGAACCACGAAAATCTCCCACAGTTAGCCTTGTGGCAAGCGGACTTTAGGCCATGATCCGTCTGTCACAAAGGATCATTTACGTCGGCACTATGATCGGTGTAAGCCAGGTGCGGAATTCGTATCGACCAGTCATCGCTGGGATTCGAACTCGGTTTACCTTATTGGAAGGCGAACGCTCTATCCCCTGAGCAACCACGGCTATTGTTGTCACTAGTGCTAAAATATTTTTTAAAAAATAATATATATATATTAAAACTTTTTTCTCTAGTATTAAAAAAATAATAAGTGCATAAAAATAAATAAAAACATTATATTTATATGATAGGAATCAGGAAAAATGAATGAAACTTACCGACTCCTACCAGTCTCCAGTTAAATCCGGGTGAGAAGAGCTTACTGGCCATTCGGACGAATTTATTGTTGGGATCCTGTTGCGAATCCAACTTCGTAGAGAATGCAGAACTGGCGATGACATCCAGTGTAAAAGCACCAAATACTCTGAAATTATTGGAAACGCACATCAGGACTCTTTCTTATAAAACATCTGCTTCTTATTGAAAACGTCACATATTTAAATATTAATCAAAGCAAGATGAAAAGGAAGGATCAAATGAATGATCAATATGCCAATAGACATTCTTTCTATGGGGTAGCAAAGTTAAGAGTCAACTAACCCTACTGCCAAAACGCAAATATTTGTCTCTCTCTTTGCCCATCACCAAGAGGAACAAGAATATTGGAGCAAGAACTCATTCCGTAATAAAAACCGTCCAGAGGATTGGAGAATTTTTACAGAAGAATATACTTTACAAATCTGGTTCTCATTCTCCATTGACGGCAATTTGAGGTGCGAGAAACGCATGCAATGAGAATGGTCCTTAAGATTGCTGTTGTACTTCATTTACGTCACACTAGAGCTGCACAATGGTCTATTGGCGACGGTCTAAGAAACATCCCTGAGGATGATCCGAAGACATGCCATCACAATTTTGATCCTCGGAAGCCCGACGATCAAGATTGAGTCAAATGTTGCTTACAATGAATGGATGGTTGACTGAATGGAAACAATTACAAGCGTCCTAAAACTGGGTCCGCAGTAGACTGATAGTAAAAACATGGTTCCGAGTTGAACATCAAAGTCAAGCATCACTGGCTGCCGTCAGTAAGCGGCTGGTGATCACTTTGATCAGCCTGTGTAACAACCGAGGGTGTGTGGTACTGATCTTCGCTAAACTGCCCTACCGTTAAGTGCTCGCAGGTCGTCAGGGTACCAAAGCAGGGGAGCCATCTCCTCCGCAGGGCATAAAAATTACATGTCTTCGGGTCATGTTTCCAAGAACGTCTGCAATAGCCCATTGTTCAGCTCTAGTGTGACGTACCTACCAAACTAACTACCCTAAAACCGAAAGAAGCTTAGAAAACTTCCGGTGTATCCCTCCGCTTCTGTTATGCTTACGAGGCACACATGTGAGCAGGTTTAATATTCTAGGAAGTTTCATTATTGTGATTTGTGCCTAAATTTTTGCTTTATCTAATCACTCATAAGAGTGTTCGGAAATTTATAAATCCTAACAGGCCAAGAGCCTAAAACAAAATTAATATCACAGCATAAATAAAATGTAAGGTTAGTCATATTATGAGTATTATCCCTTATTTAGCTATACTTATGTAAAATAGCATCATTGGTTATTTTTTGGATAACATCTTTGCAAGCTTGCGGAGTCTTCCATTTATTGTTTGTTTCGCTGAAAGAACGCGTTACATTGTAAACACTACAAGTATAATCCTATTCGATGGAGGGTTTTTTTCAAGCTTAGGCGCAAAAATTAGTCGAAAGTAGTAATCTGAGAGTTTTACGACGAATTTTAATCCTTTGAGTGACATCTGCGCTTAGCTTTACACAATCAACCATCCATAAGAATAACGTCCAAGCACTGCGCGTTCTCTGTAAAGATAAAAACATCGAAACGAACATTAACACGAAGGTTCTCCTTCTTCTTCTTGAGCACTACAACCTATGATAGGCCAAGGCCATCCCAATAAGTTTTTGCCATCTTCTGTGCCATGGCCTTCCAGTTAGTTATTGCTATCATCTTCAGGTCCCTCTCAACTGCGTACAGCCATTTAGTCAGTGGACGACCCCTTTTTCTTGTACCTCCTGATTTAAAAAAAGTTACTTTTTTGCGGGGTCTTCAGATCTATAAAGGTATTGCAAAGGTAGACAGAATTGTGTAGGGAATGCTTGAAAAATATGTGTTGACCACAGGCTCAGGTCCAACCTGTTCAGTAACCGGAAGATTTAACCAAGATGAAAAAGACGTGTACACCTTCGACTGGGGAAAGCAGGGAAGCTCCCCCCTCACATAGTAGTAGCCTTCCAGTGAACGAGAAAATCCGATTCGAAGTCCGTCGTGAGCGTATCACGATGTTGAGAGGTCACGTGGGAAGTTGCCATTGTAGTGTAGTTTAAGCCTTAATACTGTTTGCGATAAAGACGATTTGTTTGTCGAATTCAGACGAACTCAGGAAGTGCTGCCATATACGATGAAGTCTCGTAGCATGGGGTTCACCAATGTAAAGAAATGTGAGAGCGCATTCGTCAGCGGCATCGAATCAAGGACTTCTTAGGCAGTCATCGGGTGCTTTAACCACAATGAATAGGATGATCAGACAAAAGTGAGTCTGTCAACGTCAAGTTGAAAATACCGGTTCTCGCCCGATCTCCGTAGACGAGCATATCAGTCAGGACCACTTGGGAACACCGATAATCGTTACCTCGAACGCTCTATCCCCTACGGTTTAGGGGATAGAGTATTTCGCTCTTATGAGGTAACCCGGGCTCGAATCCCAATAAGGGCTGAATGATATGAATTTTGCACCAGACTCGCATCAAGCAAAGTATTGACATAAAATATCCTCAATGGTAGAAGGATCATGAGTTGGAATCCTCTTACCATTGGGCTAACAGTGAGGGGTTTTCGTGGTTTTCATCCCCATGTAACGCAAATGCGGGATAGCTCCTTAAAAAAGCTCTCCATGATGCTTGATCCAGGAGTTTCTTCGTCTTCTGGATTGGGTTCAAAATGGCAAGACTATGGAGTTGAACACTGATAGTCGTAAACTCAGAAATGACAGGCTGTTCAACGCCGGTAATAAAATAAAATAAAGATGAGTTAGAAAACTTTATTCTCCCTCTCGTAAAAGTCGTCGAAGATTTCACTAGAGATATTCTCTCAATATCGATGACACGTTATTTTAATACAAAACGTGTTTTGATAATGCAAAATTCTAAAACTCACCTTTTCGCGTCGAAAGTTTCACCCTGTTCCGCAACTTTTGCAAGGTTGTTCATCAGAGTTTCGCAGCAATCTCTGAAAATTCCCATCATCTGAAAAAGTAAAAATTACGGGTTACAGATGTTCTTTTAATTTCAACTTAAGCAAGCTATTGCGCCATTTGAAATAAGATGGATAAAACGCAAACTTCTGAACAATTAAGTTTACTTGAAAATCGATCCACTGGCATGAAAAACATCAGGCTAACTGAATAACATAAAATATTACATGAAAATTGATCACTTGGCACTATAAACCTTAGTCGAACTATGAGTTAGCATTGAAACATACAATTTGAAAAATGTTGAACTGATTGAAATGATTACTCAATATAATTCTTGTTTTATGCAGAAAGTGACGTAGATTAATAAAATCACTTTAGGGGAAGTCTAAACTGTTTAGCCGATCCTAGAGTCAAGAATGTATTTCTGATCAAGAAAACAAACAACTTTTGATATCATATAATGACTCCCAATGTTTAGGATAGATTAACTAACAGAAAACCCCTTCCATTTGCGATTCCATAAATCTTAATAGTGTTAAAAAATCAATGAAATGGTAAATTTGAAAGAATCTTATGAGCTCTACGCTGAGCTTGAATAACTTCTAAATAAATACAAAAATATTAAATGGGTAGATTTCATATATTCCCCCTAGATGCAGCATAAAGACTGTAGTAGATTCTAGCTCCAGCCCCCCTCTCCCTCAGTTGCGTTGTTGTGATCTATTAATCAAACTTTAACACTTACTGATATTTGAGCTAATTGTTAAACTATATTGTTATAGAGTAAAACCTCCAGAAAAAAACCATCTCTGTATATAGCGACATCCTCTATTTACGACTATTTTGGGGAGCTCTGAGTTTTTTCCATAGATTTTGTATTGATTTGTTGTTGTTGTTGTTCATTTACGTCGCACTAGAGCTGCACAATGGGCTATTGGCGACGGTCTGGGAAACATCCCTGAGGATGATCCGAAGATATGCCATCACGATTTTGATCCTCTGCAGAGGGGATGGTACCCCTACTTCGGTAGCCCGACGACCTGCACGCAAAGTCGAGCACTTTACGGTAGAACAGTTTAACTAGGACCAATACCGCACACCCTCGGTCCCTACGCAGGCTGATCTAAGTGGTCACCCACCCGCACACTGACCGTAGCCAGTGATGCTTGACTTCGGTAATCAGCTGGGAACCGTGTCTTAACGATCAGTCCACTAAGGGACAGATTTTGCATTGAAGAAAACCCTTAGGCGGAATGGGTCAAAACCATTTCCAGCCACCGGGCAGATCTAGAATGAGGAAAATGGAAAAGGTCAAATAAGGAAACACGAAAAAATCTCAAAACGAAATTATACTAACAAAACAAATAAGTAGATTCAAATGTGTTTCTGAGCGATTCTTATTTAGAGAGCTCTTTTCGGTGATCTCTAAAGGAGATCAAAAAATCTCATGTTGCAGTTGCTAATGACGATGCAGTCAAAGATTATTTTAAAGTCGAAAGTTAAATTAGATAAATAAAAAAAATTTTATCTTAGAAAAAACTAAGCATCTTAATCAAATAAACTTAGAACAATAAACTTGTTTGCGAAAAATCTTGTACCTTCTATAACATTTTGAAGACAATGTAGGTAACCCAAAAAAACGACAAAAACCTCTATTAACGACTGCATTTTGTTTCACTGTATTTTGTTATTGCCCTACATTGTTACATAGTATTTAAATTATAGTGTCAAATAGCATTTATCTAACATTGTTTAATTAACTATATTGCTTAATTATATATGGTTAATTGTTTAACTGCATAGCCCACATCTGTTTTCCCAAACTATATTTAATCATAAATCCAATAGATATGAATTCACTTACTCTTTTCATTTTTCCAGTAGAGAACGTGGGTGAAATGATTGTTCGAATCCTTTTCCAGTTTTCTCCCTTTGCCATGGTTATCATATTATCCAATTCTTTATTGCCTGTTTCACTGAACTTTAAAAAAAAGAAAAAAAGAGGAAGATTTTCATGAACTTCCTATTTCTCATAAATAAATAAATAATTTATAGTGACTTACCCTGTTCCCTTGAAATACTTGGATATCCTTCACTAAGATATTTCTTAAAATGGATGGATCTCCAACTGAGAGCATGGGTTTGTTAGTTTCGAAATGCCTGTTAAAAAATTAAAAAATATATCACCCTGAATAATAACTTTCACAAACTGATTTCCAAACTTAATAGTTTAAAAAGATGTCCTCAAATATGCTAAGCTAATTAGTGCTAACTGTTAATTATGTTGCAAAATTAAACGCAAAAACGTATTAATTTCTTAATGAACATGAATTCCTTTCGACGGATTTGGATATTTGACAATTTGAATAAATGGAGTCGCAAGTCTGGAACATATATTCCCAACCTTGGTCGACACAAAACTGTACATTTCCGAACACAAAAGTACAGTTTTGTACTATGTATTACCAATATAAACGTCTGACATTACTATGGATGATTGACTGAATGTAAACAATAAAAAACAACTTAAAACCGGAGGAAATTTAGAAAACTTCTGGTGTATCTCTCCGCTTATGTTATTCTTACGAGGCGATCTGTGAACAGGTTTAATATTCTATGAAAATTTATTAATGTAATTTATGATTAATGCGCGTAATTTCACCATTCATAAGACTTTCCTGTAGAACAAATTAAATAAAGAAAAAATATATGAAAACGACGTAGAGTTAGTTTCGAAGTCTTAAGGGTTTTAAAAGTAAAAAAAATTAAGAATCAAATTCGTAATTTTCATGGATGGTTGACCGTATAAAGCTAAGCACAGATGGCGCTAGGTTTAATTTTCGCCGTAAGACTTCCGGGTTACTACTTCCGATTGTTTTTCACGTATAAGATTGAAAAATCGTTCCATTCAATATTGTTATACACTTCTAGTGTTCACACTATTACTCATTCTCTCAATTTAACCTCTGATAAAAACAAATAACAATAATTTTGGAAAAGCTCGCAACCACGCTATGATGCTACCCCAACAATAACTACAGGCGATAGCCACAATTTTCTTAAAATTTTTTTTCGGCTGTTATAATTTATAAATTACAGAAAACTCTTACAAATGGTAAAATTTCACGTAAATTTGATTAAAAAAAATCGTAATAATAAAACTTCCTGCAATATCAAGCCTCGTAAGCATAAAATAAGCTCAGGAACACTATTTCCAGTAGAAAACCGAAATAAAGCATCACTGGCTGCGATCAGTAAGCGGGTGGGTCACCACTTTGATTAGTCTGCGTAGGGACCGAGGGTTGCCGGTATCGATCATTATTAAACTATTCTACCCTAACTTCTTGAGCAGGTCGTTGGCCCACCAAAGCGAAGGAGTCAACCGCTCTGCAGAGAATCAAAATTGTGTCTTCGGATCCTCCTCAGGGGTGTTTTCCAGTAATAAAATACCTACCTACCTGAAAATGGATACAGTTCAAAATGCGTGTTTACGAAAGCTCATCAATGATATGTTATAATAAAAAGTAATGATCAGGCACATGCTTTACTTTTAAATAAATATAAACTTTTCCTCAGAAAAATAATTATAATAAATTAATTAATTAATGGATGCTCACCCATATATGGGTCCATATTTTAAATATCTTTCCAATTCAACTTCATGCCCCGGCTAAAAACAAAAATGTATTTGAAAAAAAAATCATGCAGCATTTTGAAACAGTAAAAAACATGATAAATAATTTCACAAAAATACTTTATTTTCAAAGTATTTTCAAATATAGTTTTATCTTTGTTCTTCTCAGAGTCTTCAAACTTGTTTTCAATGTTTAGATTTTTAATATCTTTGTTGGAAACGGAGTAAAAATTATATACACATTGAGTATCGCACATTAATATTTAAACTAAAAAAGTAAAAAAAATATTGAGGAAGGGAAGATTAAAAAAAAATCAAAATGATTTTGATCATTGTCCAACTGAGAGAAAATGAGAGGTAATTGTTAGAAATACATTAAAATTCATCTGATATTCAAACTGGTTTTGGCGGATTTAATCAAACTTTCTAGAATGAAGACTCATGATAACACTCCTGTTAGATTTCGATAATATTTTTCGTCTCCTATCTGCATACTTTTTTTTAACTTCGCTTTTTTTAAAGGATTCTAAATAAAGGCTGCCTCTAAAGCTTTTAATAGGAACATTACCTAGTTAATCCGCAGATTTACTAGTGCATGATTCGTTAAAATGCGGAATCAAGAATTCTTAGCGATTTACTTGGTAATGTGCGCCTCAAAGCTCTCCGTATCGTTAAAGTTCAAGTGTTTTTCTCGCATTCTATTAACTAATTTATTGATTGTATTCGTTTCAATTGATTCTTCAGATAAATAAGTAAAAATTACGTTATTTCCTTAATTGTAATAACATTCTAAACCGTTTGAGTCTTTACATTATAGTCTATAGCAGGGGGGGGGACAACCTGTGGCTCTTTGAAGGATTATTAGTGGCTTTCGATAAACATACCCGAGTTCCCTTTTTGTGCTAATATATTTAAAAAAATTATTATCGTTCCGTATGTGTTTCAAAATGTCTTTTAAATGACTGACAACAAATATGAAAGACTAAGTGCAACGTTATAACAAATTTCATTTCCGACCAAGTTAAGAATGATCTGACTCATCGAAAACTGCGAAATAGATTTCAAAATAGATTTCAAGACTTGAAATATTTTAAATCGTCTCTTGATTTCTTTTCTGAATCCATTTGAAAAAAGCAAAATTCAAGGTGAATTTAGCATTTCCAATATAATTATGACTCAAAAAGTATCTGGAGAATTAGAATTTATAGAGATGCAAGAAGATCAAGCTCTACAATTAAAATATAAGTCGACGTCGATTACTGAATTTTGGAAATTTGTACCAGAATCGAAGTATCCTGAATTAAAAAAGGCTGCTTGTCTAATTATTTCAATATTCGGGACCACGTACTTATGTGAATCATTTTATTCCTCTTTAAAATTCGTGAAATCCAAACACCGATCAGTATTAACTAAAGCATCTCAAAGAATTACTGAGAAGTGCTATCACCCATTATTTACCAATTTTAAAGAATTATCAAGAGAAGTAAAATAAATGTGTTTAATTTTTAATATTTAAATTCAATACACATATTTTGTACTTTTATATATATATTTTCAATAAATATAATTTCTGTAAAAAAAAAATTAATACCTTTTTTGCATACCTTTTACAGAGCTATATACTACCTATTTAATTGCGGATCGCGAAAAATTTCAAATTTTAAAAATGGCTCGACTATTAATGAGTTTGGCCACCCCTGATCTATAGGTTGATGATTGATTTTTCATCTACTGTATTGATTGTAGCAACTTCGTTTTTCAGATAGCGAAAAATAAATAACACTATTTTAGTTTAAGAGTACACAGAAACGTTTCTGCTATTTCAACAAAGATCTTTATTTTCACTTTAACGAGTGCTTAATGAGCAGATGATCTGGTTAGTTTGTTTTGTTGATTATCAAGGTAATTATAGAACTATTATTTTGTCATTTTTACGGATCATCCTACTTAATCTGAAGAGTAGCTAGTTAATCTGTAAGTTGGTGGGTGGTTGTTGACTTCCACCGGTGAATGTTGACAATCACATGGTCGCTTTGGAAAATGTCCGAACTATATACTAGGTCTAGTTAAGGGACACTGCCCTGTATACATTTGCCTGGTATGTCCTACATCAATTTTTTTTAAGGTCAAGTGCCACTGCCCAGTATGCATTTCACCGGTACTTCCAACACTGATGTTTCTCCTCTAATCTATGCTCAGCAAATATTAAACTATCGAATAATTATAATAATCTCAACGAATCAAATGAGTATCAATATCAAATATTTCGAACATTCACCAAAGCAACTATGTGATTGTTGACATTCACCAGTGAATGTTGACATTCTCTTGATTTTAGTCATTCGCGGTAACATATTCTTTGTTTTATATTATCTAAGGTCAAAAAAGACATGGGTCCACCATACCTTGGTTACGATGTCCAGAAGTGTTCCAATGAAGGGGTAAGGCTTTACAAAAGGAACATTTCTTTCCTTCCAATAATTGTGGCTTCGAATAGAGTACCTTAAAAGTAATGGTCAATATTCAAAATTTATCATCATTATAAGAATTTTTTTTTTGTTCTACAAGAGCGAAGATGAATTTTTAAACAACTTAGCGCCCCCTCCTCTGCTCGTTCCGCTCGCCAATCCCCATAATTGCTTCTCATTAATCATTTTTTCCCCTTAAACGTCAATTTTTTCTAAAAAAAACACACAATTATTGTAGAATGAAGAGGAAAAACAATTTCGCAAATTAATCGTAATGAAATTAACGATTACTTATATTTGAAAATATTCATCTGCACTTAAAAAGAAATAATGATAATAATAAAAATAACGAAATAGCACTTGAAATTGCAATTACTTTTAATGAATTTAAATTATGATGAAAACTCTAGCTAAAATTATATTAAAAAATCGTCCCATCAGCAGTTCGGATTTAACTCTGTAGTTACATTATAGGTGATCACAGATCAAACCAATGTTTTTTTTTCCCCTCAAAGCTTAACGCTTAATAATTCTCGAATGTCAGTTTTTTTTTTATTCCATCGCACTTCCTTTGCATTTTTCTACAACCCATCACACGTTCAAATTTTTAAATCTTATAGTTATTGCTTAGAAAGACAAAATGTAACGTTAAATTAGAGATCCCCCTTTTTTTAATATTCAACATTATTACGGAGCAAAACAAAATGAAACGTATAGAAAAAATATTCGCGACAAACCGCTTAAAATTGCAATAACTTTCACACAAACTGGAATTTTGAAAGAAACTCTGTGTTAAGTTCATAAACAAATAGGACCCTTCCCCTAAGCCAAATGTCATTCCAGTGGCCTGCAGAGCCGGCCGAATGGTATTTTTTTCGTCAAATTTAACAACATATAATTCTCGAATCAATTTTTATTCCATCGTACTCCTTGTATACATTTTCTGCAATCCATCAGAATTTCAAGCTTCTAAGTCTAACAGTTTTTGTTTAGACAGACAAAATGTAACGCTAAGTTAGACATCCAAACAACGATTTTTAACATCGAGAGAAAGTTCTTACGAAGGGTAAATAGAATATTAATTTTTTGTAGTTTTTATTTTTTAAGTTAGGTGCGCCAAAAATAATCGAATTTTCGCGTACTAAAATGTAATCTTTAAAGCTTTGGAAGTCATTAGTTTTGCTAATATGAGGCTCATTAAGTATCGATATTATAAGACACAAAAATGTACTTTATCTGATTATCGTAAATGATGTCACACTAGGAGGGGCTGCTTCTAAAATCGAGACAATTCTTGAGAAAAAGGAGGGTGGGAACCTGCTCTAAGAATATCACACATGTTGATTAAAATTAAACGTTTCGAATCAATAGCTTAGTTAATTTATTTAATTAGTTTTCGTTATTTTTTTGCGTGCAAATAAGTACACTTCGAATCTTTACAGTTGGGATCACAAAGGTTAAACACATAAAGTTTAAAAATAAAATTTGAAATGTGATATATATCGTGTATTTTGTTTATGAGCTGCTATTTAGTATATATGTTTATAGAATATAGCGTGACATGTGACAGGGAGGGGAAAACGGTGAAGTGTCACACTTGGTGATAAAGGGTAAGAAAGGGGTTAAAAATATTGATAGAAAGTGTGATATGGTGTATGGAAACATATTCACATTTCTGATCCTCATTCTGAGTGTGGTTAGAAAATATAGCTCCAACAGTTCTATCGGAGGACAAACATTTAAGTGCCATTGTGAAATTTACTTTTTGCTTATTCCCTGTATTTTTTTAAACTATTTTAGAGAATGAAAAATATTTGTAATATAAAGACATAATTTTTACACTATTTTGAAAAATTCAATTTTAAAGGACAATAATCAAAATTTGAACAAAATCGGTTTCTTAGCAATAAAACTTTACGAAAATAGAATTTTTTTAAAAATTGTATGAACTGTATTAGAAATGTTTTATAAGTTAAGTACTTTTGTCATAAAAGGTTACTAATAGTATCGTTAAAACAAAAAGTTTTACCTGTAAAGAAATATAATAATCAAGAATGATATCAAAACAGTGCTAAATGATAATTCTCCGAATATTGAAAACATATTCATATTCAGGGAGGGATTTGAAACTAAACGAATAAGAGCTTTGAGACTAAAGAATCACGATTTCTATTCAGTTGGTTTCCTTATTAAAGCAATGGAGATAACAACAGCGATAAATGTTCAAGGTCTTATTCATAAGTTTTCGTAAACATTAATGTCGTTCATCTTAGATTAAAGTTAAGGATTTCTGATTTCATTTATATTAAATTTGAATTTTAAAAAAAAAGCTGAAAGATATTTTGAATGGTAGGCATGTCAACAGTAACTGAGAACCACAAAATTTTTATGAGTAGGAAAACAGGAAAATTTTCTTTAAACAAAAAAAAACAAAAAATAAATAAAAAAGGGAAAGGGAAAAAATTACAGAAGTCATCACCGCCGGGATTTCAAAAAATTGTCCCTGAGAACATGCTCTTACTGTTCCTCATAAAAAAAAAACTTTTTATAACCGTCACATTAACACGACAATCAATCTACTACAGAGAAAAAAAATCAAAAGCAAGCAAATGTTTTTTTAATTGCATAGCAACATCATAATAAGAAATTAAAAAATTAGAAGTAGAGACAGCTATTTCGATACTATTAGCAAGCACTAGCATCAAAGTTGAGCCCCGAATATTTTTTTTATTATTAAATCAATTAAATCCAGTAGCCTTAAAAAAGTACTATGCTTTTGTGTGTGCAGGCTAACCCACAAAAGATTTGCAGTACTTAGACAACCACCAGTTGCCTCAGTGATTGACAGTAGACAACCACCAGTTGGTTGCCTGAACCTAAGTGACCGAACACCCCTTTCAATAGTGATTTTTTATATCGTTGAACAGTCGACCCAATTTTTTGGGTTTACGACAACTCATATTCAACTCCGAAGCCTTTTAATTTTGAACCCGATCCAAAAAACAAGGGAATTCCTGGATCAAGTATAGGGAGAAATTTGCCTTCTTGGAGAACTTTTTGATGAAACTTACCCGCATTTGCGTTACGTAAAGAGGACACTATAAAAAAACCTCTCACGGTCAGCCTGACGATAAGGGGTCTAACCCATCTACCACTAAGGATATATCACGTCAGCACTGTGGTCGGTGCCAGCCGGATGTGGAATTCGTATCGATCGGTCATTGCTGAGATTCGAACCCGATTCACCTCATTGGAAAGCGAACGCTCTATCCCCTGAGCCACCACGGCTCCCAACAGTGATTTTATATTTGATAAACTTTGCAGATCAAAATCAATGAACGAGAACTGACGGTCTTCCATATGCATACTTTTTTTTTGACTTATTAGAAAGCGTCCAGCAAGCTGTCCTTGTATTCTTTAATATTGCATGGAAGGGCAATACAAATGGAGAAAAAAAAGCTATCACCATTCCATTTCAACTAACTGAGAACCTTTCCAATTACAGACTTATTTACCTGGCCGCAGTGTCAAAATGGATGGAGAGAATCAGAGAATGATGGTCAAAAGATCTTGAAGAGAAAAAACTTTTATCGGATTACAAGGTAAGCCTCAGACGGAAAAGAAGTACCATCGAGCTTTCTTGTCCTCCCCAGTGCAAGTATGGATTTCATAGGCTGTTGTTGTTAATTTACGTCGCACTAGAGCTGCACAAGGGGCTATTGGCGACGGTCTGGGAAGCATCCCGGAGGATGATCCGAAGACATGCCATCACAATTTTGATCCTCTGCGGAGGGGATGGCACCCCCGCTTCGGTAGCCCGACGACCTGCGCGCAAAGTCGAGCACAGTTTAACGAGAACCAATACCGCACACCCTCGGTCCCTACGAAGACTGATCCAAGTGGTCCGCACACTGACAGCAGCCAGTGATGCTTGACTTCGGTGATCTGCTGGGAACCGTGTCCTAACGATCAGTCCACTGCGGGATGGATTTCATAGGCGGTTTATGTGGATATTAAAAATGCTATTAATATAGGGTACGGAGAAAAAAGGGTTGTTTCCCTCACTGTTTGGGATTTAATTGAATGGTTGTTCCATTCAATTATTTGGTTTGCTTGGTTGTTAACTTTGCACTAAGAGACACACTAATGAGCTATAGACGATGGTTTGAGGTTCATATTTATAAATATGATCAAGAGACAAAACTAAGGCACTCTTATCACATTTCAGATTAGAGGTCAAATGGTGATAGTTAGCAGTCTCCGCACCATACAATGAAGAGCCGTGGTGGGTCAAGGGTTAGAACTCCCAAACCTGGGTTCGAATCTCAGTGATGGCTAGTTCTATACGAATCGACCGCTGTTCTCACCTAAAATATCCTCCGTGGTACACGGACCATGGGTTAGAGTCCTCTTGCCATCAGGCTAACCATGGGAAGTTTTCGTTATTTTCCTTTCCATGTTACGCAAATGCGGGATAGTTCCATTAAAACGTCCTACACTAAGGCAAATTTCTTCCAACACTTGATCCAGTAATTCCATTATCTTCTGGATTGGGTTCAAAATGACAAGGCTACGGAGTTGAACAATAGTAGTCGTAAACTTAAAAATCGAGTCGGCTGTTCAACAGCGATTATAAAATAAAATTAGATAATATTAAATTGGACCCACAGTGGCTCAAGGAATAGATCACTCGGCCTCCCGCTCAGGTTAGGTTTAGGGTTCGAATGCCAGAGTTGGCATAGCAGTTCGATACGATACCCGGCTCGAGACACATAATATTCTCAGGGGTAGACGGTTACAATCCCCTTGCCGTTGGGCTAAACATAAGAATTTTTTTTTTCTCTTTATATAATGCAAATGCAAGCTACTTCCATCAAAAAATCCTCCACGTAGGCTAGTCTGTCCACAAGAGTTCCTTTGTCTTTTGGATTGGGTTAAAAATTATAAGAATATGGAGTTGAATATTGACAGTAGTAAACCCATTTTATTTATAACTGTCCAACGCCTGTTACAAAATAGCCTATAATTTTAGAATGCATTTTGCAAACTATCCTTTTTATTTACAATGCAAAGTATTGAAAGCAAAGGTGATTCTGAGCCCTACTGAAAAATCCTGAAAATTTTTTGAGTAAAATCATTAATAATGCAATTCAAAAATTAATATCTTTATAATTCGCGATCGCAACACTCGAATACGCCATCTGGGGAGAGACCGGTTTCATGCCTTTAGCCCTTCTCCCTTCCCTCTCCTCTTCTTTTCAGTTGTATAGGAATGTACTACGATATTTTCCCTTTTCTTAATATTTTTCCTTTTTATTTAATAAAAATATTTTTTAAAATTTCCATGTTACTTTTCTTTAGAGCTATGTTTAATGTAGTTTTCAGTTCCATATAGTTTTTCAAGTTAAAAGATTTTAATCTATATGAAAATCAAGAGAGAAACTAGCGTACTTCCTTCCTCTATGACTTTCCACACGCTAATGGGGAAAGCATGTGAAGTGTTGCCATAGGAAAAGAGTTCTGCTCTACGCCACCTGCAGCCCATTTCGATCGCCAATATAAATCATAAATATTTTCAAAACAAGAAATTCTAAATAAATTATATGCAGCATAATTTAAATAAATAATTATGTATAAGTTAATATTTTTAAATAAAATATACAAGAATTTCTATACATAAATGTGATCGATGATTCCTTGAAAACTTCTAAACCTTGGATTTCCGGAAACTTTCGGATCGCGGTTAGTGAAAAATCCGGATTTTTTCCGGAGCATAATCATCTCTGTGAAAAGTTAAAACTTGGATACTTTTAGAAAACAATGAACTGCTTCAAATATATAAAAAAAAAAACAAATACCTCATCAATAATTTTATTAACAGAACAATAACAAAACATACATAAAAATGCTTTTTATTATAATACACGTATAATACATTACTTCATACACGCATTTACACTAAATACAGAGAGTTGCTAAAAATAAAACTTAAATATGAAGCACTAACATAGCTAAATACATCTCTACATAAATAAAACGATAACTGTGATTACAAAACAGACTAGTACAAATCTAACTTGCAAAGTTACACATTTGAAAAGAAAAAAAAATTCATAACATAATTTACTCGTATTATAATTTCCTACTGGAACCTAATCCCTTTTTGTTAACTGTTTAGTTTATATGAGTTTTGAGACTAACGTTAAGTTTTATAGAAGTGGATGTATCAAGATTTATTTTGTTTTTAATATTTTAACATTGTGCAGAGATTAACCAGGCTGCACTGAATGGATTAATCGGGTTTAGAGTATAACAAGATGCCACTGCATTAAGTGAAAGAAATAAAATATCACAATCATATCACAATTTTATACAAAATTAAAATAAATAATTTCAGACATGCAATTAAATAATTTCAAACTGAAACGTTAATTTCCTAACATAAATGCAATTGGGAACTACAAATTGTTACATAATATTTAGTACAAAAAATATTGCTTTAGTTATTTTGGGTACTGCATCATTTTTATTATTGTTAAATTTAACAATATTGCATTTACATTGCAACATGTTATAACATAATAAAACTGTTAGGAAATAGATTTGGTTACTTTTAATCATATTCTAATCTAAATCAGCAGCATGTTACTAGTTAAGAAATTAAACAAAAAAAATATACAGTATTAATTATGAGTTCCATATCCAATTATCTTTTGAGAAATTTCAAACTCTTTAGCCAATTAAAATTCGAAATTATTTTTTTTCTACTTAAAAGAGTAATTCTCAACAAGCTTTAGTTGCAAATCAGTAGGTATTTTTTAAAGAATTGAAGAAAAAACTCAAATCAATATAGGTTCCTAATTGATATATTTTTCTTTGATAGAGAGAAATAAAATCAGCAGGCATTATCAAAAGAATTGAGAAAAATATAAAAGTAAAAACTTAAGAGAATTTTATACAACAAACATCAGAAAATTTAATAATACAATAAATATATATATATACACAAAACAGATAGATTATCATTATTCCTTCCATAAAAGCTGATAACTTTTTAAACAAAATCACCAGTACATTGTAAAGAGCGTCAGAGGCAGACCATAATCAAACAATACTATCTCACATTTATTACACGGGGTGCATGTGCAAATTGGAAAATTAAACATACGTCAATAGCAGCAGAATGTAAAATTTTTTTCGCCCTGTGTAGACAGTTGTATCAGGTCCACAGGGACTCGGAGTGGACCGGAGCTGTGCTCTCCTTGAAACTGGAGCTGAAACTCTACATTTTCCCAGGAATTTCATTATGTTCTACAGATAGTCCACCACTTCTTTAACTGCATTTTTTGTTAGCCAAGTTGTTGTAGAAAGATTATTCCCAGCATTAAAATGTATTTATAAAGATGCAAAATCAAATAGGATGGAGAATTTAAAAGACTAAATTGTTTTGAGAATAAACAAATAACTCAACTATGAATTAAATTAAATTTGTTATTAAATTATTTATTTTTTGAGTTAACTTAAGATTGCTTTTTTTAAAGTTAATTTATATAATAAAAATTTCAAACTGAAATCTGATACTAAAAAGTGCACATAAATATATAATAAAATGGATAAGCTTTATTAGAGCCAGAGCGGAGCGGGAGCGTCGAAAATGTTTAGACTCCAGGTCCCTGAAGGACTATTATTGTTTTCTTACGCAAACTAAACACTTGTAGTATCTGAACCAGATCACAATTAACAAATAAATCAAGTAATGCAGAATTTTAAAAACTATATCTTTTGATTTAACATCGATCAATCAACACAAATGGATTAAAAAAAATTTAATTCCTCTTTCAGTCTCATAAAAAAAATCAACGAATGTTTTATCACCTCTTTAAATTTCTTTAAAAAAACTTTTTTTATAAATAATATCACAGACACTTTAAATCTATAATAAAAAAAGATTTTAAAAACATACAATTCCTTTTGTAACGTTATCATCTTTTAAATTTAAGGAAAGAAACAAAAATACATAATTCTGTCACAAACATTTTTTAAGCACAATTAGAACCTATTAAAAAAACCATTTATTATGTATAACTCAAATAAATACCTAAAAAAGATATTTTTAGTAGTTATATACTTACAAATAAAATAAATAGATGTTGAAAAACTTAGAATACAATTTAAAGATCGAATTAAAATTGAATACTATTGAATTAATACACTCAAAAATTTATTAGATATATTTGTGGCAGAATTTTATGTGTATGAATATTAAGAAATTGCTCAGTCATAAGAAATTCAATAGCTTTTTTTTAAAATATTGGTTTTACCAAAAAACAAAATAATAATAAATCATAAAAAATAGTAACTTTATTGAATTGAAATTGATTCAAAATTCATTATTTCATCAGAATTTTAAAATTTTTTCAAAATTAAGAATAGACATTCAAAACAAGAAGCATGCAGAATTTTGGAACTTAAAATTATAAAACAAATCTTACACACATTGAATAACGATATAAGTTTTACATACATTATTCAATATATAAAATTAATCCCTACTTATGAGATTATCGGCAAAAAAAGTTCATAATAATAAGCGTTTTCTTACAATCTAAGATTTTAGAAAAAAATATTCCAAAAAATAAAGAACCATTCAGGATAGTTGACTTTGTTATTTCCATAAACAGAACTAAAATCAAAGAAAATTATGGAAAATCAGCAGTATTATACAAATTGAATCCTACATAGCTACTATATAAGTTTTATTTATATTATCTATACAATAACAAAGGTTTTCTCCAAATTTTCAACAAAAAAAAATTATAAAAACAAGCAATTGATAATCATTAGAAAATAAAATTTTTAAAAAAATCTTACATAATTACATAAGTTTTATTTATGCACTAATAAAACTTTTCTCCCCATTTTCAAAAAAATTATAAAAATAAGCAACTGATAATTAAAAGAAAAAAAAGAAAAATTAAAAAGAATCGGGAACCATTAAGAATTTGGACTTGCACATAATTTCCATGATCGGAACTGAAATTTGGGAAAAGTATAGAAAATCAGCAGTACTGAACTCAAATCTTATACACATTTAACAACAACATATTATTATAAGTTCATTTTTATTTAAATAATCAAATAAAGTTCATCTATGCACAAACAATAAAATATTTATAAAAATAAGGAATTGCTGAGATTTTGAAGAAAAATATTGCAAAAAACTCAAGAATGAGAAATAGGATCATGTTATTTATATAATCAGAGAAACTTACGTGAAATCTACAGAGTAATAAACAACTCAAATGTTGCACACATTTGACAATCACACATTATAAATCTTATTTATATTAAATAAAGTTCACCCATGAATCCCTAATTTGTAAAGAAATTCTAAAAATAAGGAATTGCTGATAGTTTCAAAAATAAATAATAATCTTAGTACACTGAGGAACCATTGAGAATCAGAACTGAAATCAGGCAAAATCTACAAAACGGTTAGAAAAAATAAACAGAGAGAAGGATTAAAACAGTGTGAACTGATCAAAATTTGATAAATATAAACATTCATCCAGACCTAGTTTAGTAACAGCATATACAGTACTACACCAAGCATATTTTTTTATCAAATGGGAATAAATATTAAACAACATAATTTATCTTTCAACAAAAATAGGTTGTACGATTTGTATAGTAAAGTCTATCTCTAAAACTCCCAGAAATTGTAAAAGTCTGAGTAGAAACAATCTTTTAATGTCCATTAAAAACTGTTGGATTTTCTGCAATCTCAATTTTAAAATATTGGCAAAACGGCTTCACAGTTCACATCACATCAAAGTTAACCTCTTTTTTTAAACACACTTAAGAAGTGATACAAATTCCTTATTTTTCTTTTTGTACAAAATATATCACTTATGGTTTGTAGGTGAAACAAAACAAAAATTAGCACAATCTCAACAGTTAAGAGTACATTCATATTTTAGGAGAACAGAAAACTGATGCTAATCACTGTGTGCTATTCTCAGACAGAAAACTAAAGTGCCCTGGAAAAAAAAGCAATCATTATTTTCTATAACTAAAGTTTCTTATTTTCTTTAAAAATAATAATAATTATTAACCATAAAAATACACAAGTCTTAAAGAGGTGAAAAAAGTGTTTACTTTGCATTCCAAAAATGACAGAAGATTTGAAAAACCATTCAAAGACAAACAGAAGGAGACAAAAACATGGTTTGCTCAGGAGGCTACTATTTGTGTTCACCCAGTTTCAAACTTGGTTAAAACTAAACTGTTGTTAACACCTTTGGATTTAAATCGAATATGTAAATTTGTAATACGGCAAGGCTTGGAAAGAACATTGGAGTAAACAAAGAAACTTTCCCCTCCCAAGAAAACCACCCATTAGTATCCGTTGACCGTAAAACCAAAGTTATACTTAATAGACAGCGTATTTGTTATACCCATTACACCCATTTACTGACTACTGATCCTGCACCTAGTTGTTCTTTATGTTGTGTCGACAAAACTATTAACCAACTGCAAACGATTCAACCATTTGAGAAACAAACTCTTTGGCAGCCCTGATCTTAAATCCTTGCTCGGGGACACTATTATCATGATATGACCTAGATCATTCCAATGATTAGTATATGACATTTGTTCTAAAACTGTGCCTGGTTGGTGTATCACACACAATTTTAAAAGCATTATTTTATAGTTTTTGCCTCCTTTTTAAGGACTTTGTAACTCATTTTAAAACTTGATTTGAAGTCTGCATATCAAACATACTATACATTTATATCCGTTCTGCTTTTCTTTACTTGATTTTTCTTTTTAAATGCTCAAGCATTTTCAGGACACTTGAAATACAGGATTTTTAAAGTAGAAGGATCTTCATACTCTGCCTCTATTTTTCAACATAAACTTTAGAGGGCGCATTTCAAATTGTGTGGACTGTACGAAGCAACACTATTTTAAGATCCAATAAAACATTTAAATTGTGTCAATGAAATTGAGCAGCACTTCAGTCAACAAGAAAAATCACACTAAAAAAAGTAGTTTTTGAGATAAATGGGCGGATGTTTTCCTCTCCTTTAAGAACTTCACTACTGATGACGCTGTAAAAGTAAAAATAAATTTCATATGCTAATACATTTATCACAATGATGCAACTCATTTTCTCAACTTGAAAGTTGTATTTTTATAATCCCTCCTAAAAGGTACATTCTTTATTAAATAAGCAAATAGTATCATACTTGTGGTCATTCACTAAAACAATTTGATGCTAAAAGATTACTATTTATAGATATACAACACAATTCGCTTTACACATTTAGTGAAAATGAAAGAAGCACAACAGAAGGTTTATAGAAACAGGCAAATATATCAAGAAGTATACCTCACTCCCCACTAGTGGTCATCACATGGAGGGTAGAGTTTGATGTGAAAAGATAGGTTTCTATAAATATTTTTAAAAAATCAATCTTAATTTTTGCAATATGACAAGTATTTCTCAAGGTATCTCTATTTTAAACAATCTTGCAAAACAGCATCACCAATGTAGCAAAATGCTGAAAACAACCCTATCAAATTTGGGTACTTTTTTCTGAAAAACTCAATAGAAATAGGGATTCGATAATACTCACTGACCTCAGTTTGGCCTCAATGACTGCATTTTTTTTAAATATTTCACTGGCGGAGTTTTTGACTTTTGAACTGATATTAGTTCTTGAGCTCATATATTTCGATACTCTCCTTATCAGGACGAGAGGAAAAACTAGCCATTTTACACCTTTTTGAAATTTCATAAGTTTTTTAAAGAAAGTTGCCAAGCTAAACCCTTTAAAACAATACACAAAAACAAACTACAATTATTTTAATGCTGAGCATTGAAAAAAGTGGCCTGACCATCAAAACTGTTATAGATCAAATAATTACTTTTAATTATATATTGAGCTGCTTTTCAAAAGCAGTTTACTTCCACAATAAATACTGTTTCTGAATTATTGGTTTACAACTGAAAACATGTGAAGCTGATGCTTAAAACTGCCATATATTTGGTATGAAACAGACAAAAATGGTCAAATGAATAAGAGCTAGTTCGATTATGAAATATGTTAGCTATTATTTAATAAATATTTTCTAAATTTTGCTAAATATTTTCAGAGGTTAAATTTAATAATTAAAAAATATATGAAAACATTATTTTTGAAAGTTGTTTTCCAGAAATCGTAATTTTTTCTGATTTGAGAAACTTGATTTTTATTCCAAAGAGGGAAAAATTAACCTAAAATGATATTTTTAAAAAATATGTAAGTTAAAAATTTTGTTTAAACAATAAAACCTTTTTTTCGGATGTTGGGGGTATAGAAATTGAGTTTTTTGTAAGTACAAAAATTGCTTTTTTACACTAAAAACTGAAAATTTTCAAGCGTGATTAGAAAATCTATTTATTTTTTTCTTCTGTAAAGATATTTGATCGTAAGACTAGACAACGCATCATAAAGTAAATAAACATAGAGTTAAAATTGTTGAAATGGTCTTCGTATACCTAAAACAGAATTAACACCTCCACAGTTTAAATTCATATGAAACCTAAAATTAATTGAAAATGTGTCTAACTGTGCAGTTCAATTAATGTATCTAACCTTACAAAACAATTGATAACACAAATTTCACAACAAATACTAACTAAATCTGTGCGTACAATAAGCAAAACGTACCTTAATACCTTCGTTTAACAGCTAAGAATTAAACAAAAGTAATACATATTAGACAAGTGAATCAAAATGATTTTGACAACAAAGACCAACATAATATTAATACTAGTCATAGGTTCAGACAAATTTTTAAATGATTCATTGTTAAAATTAATCAAATTGGATCATAAAGAATCGAATGTAATCACTAATCATAGATTAGACAAGTATTTTAATTAAATTAATGCATCACTACTCAGACATTTAATAATTTAAGACAAGAAGAGAATATTGTTTTATCTTTGAGTTGGAAAATAAATTTCACACCAGAAAAAAATTGGATTTTTTGACTCTATTATAAAATTAAGAATTTATTCTGCTCATAGCTAACCGAAGCTGCAATTTCAGAAGTTTTTTTTAAAACTAAATTACACATAATTTGATGGAAAATCTTTGATCCTTCATACTATTAGGGTTTCCACTTAATTTAAGAAATAGTACTCTGGGTCTAATTTAGGTTCTCTAGGAAACTTTCAACATAATTACAAACAAGAGTTTAGCCATACACAGCAATTTTTCATTAGAAAAAAAAAACATACATATGTTTTTAATTTTATATTTCAAAAATAAATTTTGCAAGAAATAAATTCCAGTCCAGGTTGTAGATATTCAGGGTTTTCATTAGAAAAACAGGATTTTTTTTTTCTTCTTAAGTTAAAAAAAAAAAAATTGCGAGAATTTTTTTTTTTTATATACACTGGTTATGGACACTNTACAAACAAGAGTTTAGCCATACACAGCAATTTTTCATTAGAAAAAAAAAACATACATATGTTTTTAATTTTATATTTCAAAAATAAATTTTGCAGGAAATAAATTCCAGTCCAGGTTGTGGATATTCAGGGTTTTCATTAGAAAAACAGGGTTTTTTTTTTCTTCATAAGTTAAAAAAAAAAATTGCGAGAATTTTTTTTTTTTATATATACTTTGGAATATTGAAAGAAATAATTTTATTTGATGTTAAAATTATTTAACTTGAATTTTAATAGTTGCTTACTAATATTGATATTTTCTAGGATTTTTGCAGAATTTTCTAGGCTTTGTAAAAAAATTTCCATCCAGTTTTGGTAAAAAATTTCTTTCCTCTACCAGATCAGAAGAAACACTGAACTATTGAGTTTCGAAAAAAACTTGTAAATAACATAGCTTTTTCAACTACATATAATTATTATATTTCTTATTATTATTACATTTGCTCATTAATATGTATGTTTTTGTAAATTAGAAAAACAGTGGAACTTGGCACCTAAAGGAGAAAATTACTGAATTTCAATTTTTAAAAAATTCATATTATGAAATTTATTAAAAAACTAATATATTAAAATAAAGTTAAGAAATATATGCATATTTTAACACCATTTAAAAAAATAGCAAAAAATAAATTATCTGTAAAAGAATTTTTCAAAATAAATTCATAAAATTTTATTGATAAATTTATAAAATTAATCAGAAAAAGTTTACACTTAAGAAATGTATCCATCTTAAAAGGAACAAAATAATAAGTAAATGAATGTGTGAGGATAAGAAATACTTAAAAAGCTATACTATAAAGAATGAAGTAAATTATATTCATATGAAAATACATGGTATTTAACTAGACATGATGTTGAACACATAATATTTAGGTAGGTGAAGGTACATCTTGTTTTGTTTCAACTCAATCAAATAATAATTATTGAAATAATTTACAATAAGCAATTAAAAAATGATATGTGCAGTAAAAAAATGACATGCAACTATTTTTAAAGATAAAGACGGATTTCAGAAAAAACAAATAGTTCAATACAAGATTTAGTTTCAAATTTTAATTAACAAACTGCATTCAGAAGAAGCATCATGCTTTTTAAAATAATAAACTAGTTTTAACTTTTACAAAAAATAAAATCATTTGTCAGAAAGTCACCTTAAAACGTCACCTTAGACAGAAATTATAGTGCCATACCAAACATAAAGAAGATAAGAAAAAATATTCTGGATAAATTTAAATGTTATACCCTAAAAGAACAAATTCATTTACCCCTGAAAAAGTAATTAACCAAATAACAGAAATTCGAAAAATATTCAAAATCAATATCTTTTATTTAATAAAAACCATAACTATTCAGCATTTATAACAAAAACTAAATATCACTAAAAAAAAAAAAAAAATTTTTTTTTCATCATTTATAAAAATTTTAACAAATTAAGAATTTTTGAAAACAAAGAATAATAATTTAAATTTTTCTTTTCATTGCATTTTAGTTTTTTTAATTTGCATATATATATTAAGTTTCTTCGAGAAATTCATAACCATACAAACAATGATTGTCTGATCTCTATTGTTCTTTTATTTTCTCTCAGAAATTTTTTAATAATTCTATTTTTTAATCAACTTCATTAATCTTCACAAAAATCTGAAACTTGCTTACAAGGTAAAATTTAATAGAAAAACATAGCTCTTTTATTTTGATTTAGAAATATACTATTAATCTGAAAAATTTAATATTAATTTTATCAACATTTCTGTAGCTGTAATAAAGGACAAAATAATTTTTTTTCTTTCTCTAAATTGATTTTTTTTCCTGAAACTATGCCCAAATATAATTTGAAACAAGCTTTCAGAAGAGGTCTTGGTATTCAAAATATTATCCAATATTTATAATGGGATAGAAGTTCATGCAGAATAATAAATATTCTAAAATTATTTTTTTACAAAAAGCAAAAAAAAGTAATGCATAAATAAATTACAAAGGAATTCTTCCATAGTCTCACTTCAAAATACTCATTTCAACTTGCGTGTTTTTCCATGTAACAAATAAATGTTTTTTTATCTAAACTTATTTTCGCTGCTAAATACGTACTGTAAAAATTTTGGTATGATTAAAAATAGCACTAATTATGTAAGCTTTGATACTGAAAAGACAAAATTTACAAAAAGGGACATATAGGTTAGAGATCATAATATTCTTTATTTGCACATACAGTCATATACAAAATCATCCAAAAAGTACTAGGAGGTATTTTTAGCCTCGTTGTTCGAAAAATATATAGTAAAATACATTGGAAATTTTGTAACCAAATATTTGGGGGGAAAAAAGATGATTTAAATACTTTATGAAAGTAAATATAAGTAAAAAATATTTAAACAAGTAAAATTGGAGATTAGTACTAGTAATAAGTTACTTTTAAGGCCAAACAAGAATGATTCTAATGATTTAAATAAGAATTGGAAATTTCAAAAAGAAATTTAACAGAAAACCTTTTTTTATAATATATTTTTTATTATATAAACTAAAAAAATATTAATTAGTTCTCTAGATAAATTATTTAAAACCTCTTATTACTTTTGGCATGCCCTATATATTGCTGTAATTCAAAGTCATAATGGGAAAAAAATTTTACTAATAAAACAAAGAAGAAACAATATATATATAT